TGACCACATGCATGGTCCTGTGCTGCTGTTAATTCTCTCATTGTCTCCTTTTTGGCTTGATTATCCTGTTTCCCCACAGCCTGAATCCCCTGGGCTGCACAGAGCACAGCTGTCATTTCATCTTTAAACACCTTCTCCGCGTAAGAATAGGACATCAATATCCATCTTCATGACTGTTAGTTAGTCAGTCAGTCAGTCAGTCAGTCAGTCAGTCAGTTAGTTAGTTAGTTAGTTAGTTAGTTAGTTTAGTGATTAAAAGGACTATTATTTAGGATTTAGTGAAGTTCACCTGTAGGATTTTGTGGAATCTAGCAGTGCAGTTCACCTCACCATGCATGTAGGAGAAACTACAGTGGCTGTAAAACTCACGCCTAAAGCCAGTGTTTGGTTTGTCTGTTCTGGGCCACTGAGGAAACATGGTGGACTCCATAGAAGACTCCCATTGTAAATAAAAACATCTCATTCAAAGATAATAAAAACACAACGATTCTTATAGATCTGAAAAGTAAAAGTTGTGATACCAAAATATAAAAATACTGTTTTAGAGTTGAAAATTAAAATTTTGTCCAATTAAAAGTACAGAAGTATAAAAGTAACTGCAGACATTATGCTAAATGGCTCCATACAAAGATTATATACAGTAGGCTGTATTGATGGATTATTATCGCTAATGTATTAATATATGAGCAGCATTTTAATTTTGCAGCTGTCAGTGGACACCAGTTGAGTGTAACTGAATGTTTGTGAAATTGTCAACAGAAAAACGGTTCACAGTGCAAATAGTTATAAGTGAAGTAAGTTCAATTTTAATCTGCAAAGTAACTACAGCTGTTAGATAAATATATTGCAGTACAGAGTCCAGTTCCCCCTGAAATGTAGTGGAGTATTAGTATTATGTAAGAGTAACTATAAATTGTACTTAGTACATAGTATTAGTATAAGTATAGTACTTTACTAGATGTACTTAGTTACATTCTACTACTGCAATACAAACCACATTGAATTGCATAGCATATTTTTTTGTATTGAATCATGTTGAATCGCATTCTTGAATCAAACTGTGTCAAATTGCACTGTATTGCAAAAGGTGTTTATTGAATCGCATCTGTCTTCAATGTACTGGATTGTTGGCAATGCATCGAGATGCACATCCCTACTGTCTATATATAAATAGTTGAGTACAATAATTTGAGTTGTGCTCAAAATGCACTCCGATCTTGTGAGTCTGATGACCTTCTGTATGAAGACATCTACTTTTTCATAAGCCACCTGAACCATGCTTCGACCACACAAGAACAGGCAGCGTGAGGACCACATTGTGATGGCTAGACGACTGGTCTGAGCAACTCCAAACCTGCAGCTCTTGTGGGGTGTTCCCAGTCTGCAGAGGTCAGTACCTATCAAAAGTGCTCCAAGGAAGGAAAAGAACAAGAGACAGGGTCATGGGGGTTCAAGGCTCATTGATAGGAGTGGGGAGTGAAGGCTGGCCCGTATGGTCCGATCCTACAGACGAGCTACTGTAGCTCAAACTGCTGAAACAGTTAATGCTGGTTCTGATAGAAAGGTGTCAGAACACACAGTGCATCACAGTTTGATGGGGCTGCAGAACATTACGACCACCAGGGAGCCCAGGAGGTCAGAATGATATGGCTGATCGGTGCATGATTCCTTCTTCCCTGTTCAACACACAACCTGTTTGTAAACAGTGGATGGACAATCCAGTGTTTAAAATATCGTATGTTTGCACTTGACTTGATGACTTTTTTATCTCTGTATCATCATTTCTCCATCTGTACTGATAACAGGCTGTCATCTCCATCACTTAAGCAGACATTAGTTCATTATATGTAGCCAGAGTGAACACATAACCCACTGGATCATTATGCATGTCAAGCCAATGCTTATTTAGGAACTCCGCCTATTTTTCTCTAACCAGAGACTGTTCTGATGGAAGCCCAGCCTCTGATGAACAGTTTCTTGCGAAGAACAATGACAAACCTAATTTGCTGAACCTTGAAAGGCCATATATGTTGTTGGTCTTGAATGGGTTTCATCATTCTGGAGAATTTTTGAATTTCCTCCTCCTTTAGAAAAACATGGCTCTTTGGCTGTAGTTCAAATTCACCTAACAGCAACAAATACAGAGTATGTGTCAAAGATACAGTCAACAGTGGTGCTTTAGTTACACAAGGACCACAAATCATACAACCTATAGAGTGTTTCTCTGCAGTGGCTGTGGAAAGGCAAGCATAAAAAAGTGCACATTTTGTACAGTGATCCTCTAAAACGCAATCTGATTATTGCCTTAACATATGGAACAAACAAATCTGTCCCTGTGAGTCACTGATCAAGTCGCAAATCCTCCTCCAAAACAACAGATACGATGAGGTAAATAAAACAAACTGTTTGACTTAGCAGCAGATGTATAATTACTCTTTTGTTGGGGGCACAAAAGGAGGCACGATAATTATTTAATCCCGTCCGAGCTGAGAGACAGATCTCCCTTTCTTCAGTCCTGTACCTTTCCTCCCCGGCCCAGACGTGCTCCTGCAGCAGCTTCAGTGACAGATGGGAGATGAAAGGGGGAGCTGGGAGGAACGAGGGAATGAGAACAGGTGGGGGTGGAAACTGAAGAAAAGGAAAAGGGCACAGGGGTCAACTGGGGCAATGGAAAGGGGGAGGAAACTTACATATAGACTTGCAGGGGGACAGATCGATGGATAGATTTTTTACCGTTTCATTGTGCCTCTCTAAATCTGTGTCTCTTTTTGCCAGATGTCGACCAACTCTGAAGAAAACATGCCTACAGGATAACGCTCGGAGAAAGACCGGAGCAACGTATAGTGGCTGTACTGGCATTTTGGAAATTAGATTTTTGATCCATAACATTAGATTTTCTGCTGATGTAGCATTGGATTCAACCACATGAATGCAATGTAGTCCAGAGAAATGCAGCCTATAATGGAATTGAATAATTGAATTTAATCAGGTACAAGTTTAGTGTAAGTATTCACTTTATAGGGAAAACATTCGTATTTTAGTCCGAAGAGAGGAGAGGGGGATTAGAATGCAGTTTTATAGGTACTTAAAGTGAATAATGCCCTTTCACAGGGCTTAAGTCTCAGGTTTAAGGGCTCTGTAAAGAACTGAAGGTAAAAGCCCGGTTCACAATGTGAATACAGCTGCCTATTCAGGACCCCAGCCCCCCCAGCCAGACACTAATGCTTCCCCCTGCCTTCCTGCAAAGGAGGAAGCCCCAGCAGACTGTTGGACTCCCGCTGCATCCCGCCCTCCTCCCCCTGCCTGCTGCGGCACGCCGTGCCGGCCCTGGCAGCTGTTTAGTCGACTGAGGCAGAAGGAGCTGCAGGGGAACAATGCAATTTGACTTAACTCAACCTCTTTCTGTCTCAGCATGTGTGTGTGTGTGTGTGTGTGTGTGTGTGTGTGTGTGTGTGTGTGTGTGTGTGTGTGTGTGTGGCTTGTGTCAGTATTTTTCCCCAGTATCTGATTAAGAATGGAGCCACAGATATGGAAACCCCCATTCTAAAATCCTAACATCCTAACTATACACCAAAGTTCAGTTGTGAATATAAGATATTTTTACCAGTAGTAAAATTTCAACCTTCACTAAATACTGATGTATAGACCTGCTCACAGCATAATGAGTCGATTAAAGATTGTCCAAGGAACGTGTTAGGTAATGAACAATTTAGTCAGAACTAGAAAATAACTTCTAATCTGTGACAGGAGCAGTGGTTCTGGTTCTGACTCTAAAGCAATGTTACTATATGAATGGAGCACTTCAACTATCTGGACTAAAACATTATTTCATATATTGTCATTGTGAAGTTAAACTATGCGTTCAAAGTGCTTCAGGCCCATCCAATCAGCATGCTAAAGAACAGGGAGTGCAATAAATCCCAGTCAAAATAATAACGGTCCGCACTTGAGATCGAACAGGGCGCACACTGGCCAAACAAAAGAACTAGGCATCACTATTAGTATTATTAGGTGGTGCTAAATGCCCCTTGTTACGAATTCTCCTCCAAAATGCACCCAATGCCCTACTCATTGTAACTGAAGCACCCTCAAACAAAAATACAATGAGATAGGTGCTTGTAATACGTTGGATGATGAATAGCCAACCACATATTATGCTATATTACTACAAATTAAACGTAACATTACCCATATATACTGATAGTACTTTTAACTATACAAACTATGAATATACTGCTTCCTATCACTTTTTAAAATCACTTTCCTCTCTGCCACTGACTTTCCATTTTACAGGCTTGGCCCTTTAACCAGTCCTGTTTGGTCATGTAATATGTCGGCTCTAGGCGTACTCTAAAATGAGGCTCTCAGCGCAAGTTCAAGCATGATCAATGCATGTTTCATGTCCCTTATAACCTCAAGCATCTGAAACTCTGTATTCCTTCACCTCTGATTCACAGGAAAACTGAAAGTACGCCTCTCCTGTACACAGTACTGCTGCACAATACAATGATTGTGGAGAAGAATACGCTCTGGACATGGCCTCATCCTGTGTATCAGCTCGCCCTCTGCACAGTCTGGTCTCTTAAGACAGACTGTGCAACAGAGCCCCCTACTGCAATTTCTATACACCTACAAAATCCATCTGCATGTGACAGCAGCATCAAAATGTGTTTCAGTGAAAGATTATTAAAGATGCTGAAACTCTGTATTCCTTCACTTCTAAAAAGGAGCATACTTCTGTTAATACATCCCATAAAAAGACAAAAACCAACAAAGTTCATCTCTCAGTGCTTTCTGCCTTCCCTTCCTCGTCTGTGGCACTCAACCCCAAGCCCCTTCAAATTTTTAATTTTAAGAAGTTTTGAAATGTTTTATCTTCAGTGAAATCACATTAATCTATCAGGAATATATTTAGATATAGACAGTCACCATATCAAGATAGATATCAGTGAATTTCTTAGTGTCCACGCTGCAGACTCACTGTCAACTAGATAAATCACTTGTGTTCGGTTTAAATACATGGAGTTTATTCCATATTTAAAAGAAATTATTCAACTTCCATATTCAAGTGTTCATGTTTGCAATGTAAAAAACAGAAAATCAGACAATCACAAATTATTCAGTTACAGGTATTTTCAAAGTATCTAACTTAGCTTTCAGACATATAGACCATATAATGGTCAGGTGCGGAAATCCACTCACCATTACAGTACATGTGATAACCTCCAGACACTGATGCAAATACACCTTATACAAGGACACACAAATGGACTCGACTGACTGACTTTTTGCATGTTAACATTAAAAGAATGTAAAGGCTTCAAACGTGGTTTTATGCTTAATAAAAAAAAAATGCGTTCCAACGCAAGTGGTAGGAGTCTCACTTTCAGGAGCAAAAAAAAAAACAAGAAACAACCCTCCACATGTTCTTTCTTTATGGCTAACATTATTGGTTGTTTTCTCAATCCATTTTCATGTAACCTCACAGACAGCGATTCCATCAATACAATGTTTCTATGAATACAGTTTTAAAATATAACCACAGAAAATCTGTTGAGTACTATCAAAAAGTACAGTAACCAGCGGTGGAGTCCAAAGGAACTTAAATGTTCCTGCACCTAAAGGCCATGTATGTAGTCAGTGATACAGCTTAACAACATCTCTGTCTGACACTTTGTTGCTATAACGCTGGCCGTCCATTAAGTTTGTCATGCATGAGTGCGATGGCTCCACCTGTGAAGTCTCTGAGAACCTGCACCGTCTCCCGCTGGAGCTGCAGCGACTCGCGCACAAACTCCTGCTGAGTCTCGGCCAGCTGCTGCACCGACTCAGACAGAAGCTCCAGGGAGCGCGAAACCGTCTCCAACAGGATGTTGGTGGCGTGCTGCTCTTGAAGGCTCAGCGATGCATTATGTAGCATGCTGTCTCTGGTGTTCTGTGAGAGTTGACCTGGCGTTGGAAGCGTGGTTGCCGACGTCACTGACGTTGAAGGTCCGGAGGACGTCTGAGGTTGTCCTTGTTTCTGGATGCCATTGTTTCCTTGGTGATCTTCTGTTAGTTTTGCTGCCGGGGTGGAAGGAAGCACGTCATCCCTTTGGTCATCGTCTGAGTCTCCAAACGCAGCTTCAGCATCTTGAGTCAAAGAAAAAGCTCATCAGTGTTTTTTTATTACTAAAAATATTGTGCAAGAATCCATGGTCTTTCTTAATTGTCCCATCCTGCTTGCGGTGTGCTCCAATGACAGAAGAGAAGACCCTGGTCATCTTTCTCCTTTCCTGTATTTAGATATGCTATGTGCTAGGCCATTCTATGTTAAAAGATAACCACATTTTGAAGATGGTTAAAAGATAAAAGTGGTCTGACTATTAATTTTCTTTCTTTTTCTTTTCTTACATCAAAGAAAAGTGGTAAAGTGAAGAAAACTTCACAATACCAATGGAAGAGTAGGATAATATAATCAATAAACAATGGAAGTCAACCACCTCACTGACTAGGAGAGAGTTTATTGGGAAAAATATGGTCATACTTTGTAACACCAGCACTTAAACAGTCTACAGGTCAGCAGACAGCATGCTGGAAAGGCTGCGGGACTGTGAAAGCATAACATTATCATGTGTTTTGGGAATGTGGTGGCATTCACAGCTATTTGATGACAATCAGAGATAGCATGGAAATTTTTTTTAAAAATTAAGATTTGTTTTCAGGTCCTGTACTTGGGTAAGATGCCACTATATATATATATATATATATATAGCAACATATATAGTATATACATTTATCTTAAGTTAGCTAATGTTAGCAAAAACATTAGCTAACTAACGACTGATATACATTAGCTAGCTAGTTAGGTAGTGTTTTGCCAACATTAGCTTTTAGATGCAACTGGCTAGCAAACTATTTATGTATATTAGCATGGTCGTAAGATAGCTACTGATTGATTAACTAGCTAGTTTTGCTAACATTAGCTAGCTAATTTAAGAGCTACACATACATATATACGTGTGTGTGAGAGGTCTTTTACTTTTTAATCAGCTTTAAAATGTGGTTGTCAGGACGACCAGATAGCTCACCTGGTAGAGCTGGCGCCCCATGTACCAAGACTGAGTCCTTGCAGCAGCCATGGGGTCTCTGACCTGTGGCCCTTTGCTGCGTGTCATCCCCCCACTCTCTCTATCCCCTCTTTCCGGTCACCCCTCTTCAGCTGTCACTATCACTTAAAGCCAATAAAAGCCCCAGAAAACACATTAAAATGTGGTTGCCTAACAATATAGACGAGCTTAGCACATAGCATATTCGAGTACAGGAAAGGAGAAAGTTGACAGAGGCTTGCTTAACTATTATTGGAGCACAGGGCAAAAAGGGGCGGGACTTAGCAAGGTCAACTTGTACCCACATCGTCACAACTCACCTTCTGTTGCAGGTACTTCATACTGCACATCAAAGGCAGTTTGTGATGAGTCCCCTGCAACATTGAAAAATAAGTTACCCATGTTCCATACACTCATATCTTGTGGGCAAAATGTGCGTACAGTAGTTTCACAGAACATTTTGAGAGGGAGGTGACATGGCTTTGCTCAAAATAATTTGATGTGTGTTATATAGAAACATGAAATGTCAAAATTTTCATTTTTGGGTATACTACTCTTCAAAGCACTCACTCGCAGTGTAGGAAGTTGGTGGGGGCATAGACATCATGTCCAACCCTCCATTAGGAGAACTCTGCATTCCCATCATATCCTCCTCTTCCATTTCTTCTTCCTCCTCTGGCACATCATCGTCATCTCCCAGTGGTCCAAAGTCACCTGTGCTCTGGTCTTCCTCATCCATCTCCAGAATCTGGAGCACTATTTTCTCTGTCTGATTAAGGTCTCGGGAAAGACGTGAGTTGAGGCCCCTGTTGGGCACTGTCCCTGATCGCATAGCAGCCACTTTCCGCTTGGTGTCACACTTCAGATCGGACCATTTCTTGATAACCTCGATGACTTCACGTTGGCACTCCCCAATCTCATTGACACGCGCAGTAATTTCTGCCCATGTGCGCTTCTTCATGTCTGTTGGCACACCACGGTTAAATTTGCCTTTAGGGAGAAAAAAAAAAGACTTTAAGCACTTGCCTTCAACTGTCATTGTGATCGACATTTTACATTAATCACAGATGTATTGTCCTTGTTTCCTCTGCTTAGCCTGGTTTATTTTGTGTTTTTGCTACTGTGCAATCATTCATTCATTTTCCAGGAACACAGACACAAAACACAATCTCTTAATTTAAAGGTGAAACCACTGTGACAGGGATAAGCGCTTGAAGACACATACCCACAACAACCATACGATGCTTCCTCACTTCATCCAGCAGTATGTGGACTTCACTGAAAGAGAAACGAGCTTTTCTTTTCTTGAAGCGAGTAACACTGTCTTGGTTGTAGTAAATTGGTGAAGACATCCTCCACACACAGTGTCAACAGGGTGCGTCCAGCTGCTTTGTGGTCTCTGCTGTGCTTCAACTTTTCCAGCTGTCTGTCAGTTGTGTCAAGAGTCTGACAAACAACAAAGTTAAAAGAGCATGCGAGTTAATGGTAAATCTGCTCATGTGTCACAAATGTATTGCTTCATAAACAAAATTAAGAGCTATGCACAAATAGTTTACTTGATGACAGCTAAAGTAAGTAATATTAATTACAGGGATAAAGCTACACTCGTTCAGGCTCAACAGCTGAGCAATGACTGTGTCTAGTTAGTTTAATAGCTAGATAGAAAATGAATGAATGGTATCAACGTTGTAACCGTACTGTACTTACATGCATAGGTCTGACTGTTTTCACGTCGTTAGGCAGGGAAATAGAGCAGGTTTACCGTGATGATAACAATGTCAGTGCAAAGACTGAATGAACAATGGACGATGCTATAGTCCCTTTAGCGTTACACACGCGACAGCCCAGTTAGCTACCTGTTAGCTAAGTCTAGAGTCCACTCGTAGTTAGTCAAATGATACCTAAACCTACATTACCCTGGATATTTCAGCGACTAACATCTATTTCATTCTCCTCACACAGAGCTGCTAACATCCAGTTAGCTGACGTTAGCTCTGGTCGAATGTTACACAACAGCACACACCAGGTTAGCTCTCTTTGCAGCAACACAACGTTAGCCTACGCTACGTTACAGTCAGAAATGGCTAATGAAGCCATTTAGTTCACGTAACCTCACTTCACGAGTTATACCATAATGGCAAAACAGCTATTGAGATAGTGAACATACCCCCTAGTCAAAGAAGTTGGGATTTGGTCCAGAAACGTAATGATAAACTTCCTTATCGACAAGATAGCTATTGTCAAGCTAACCAGTATGGAGCTAACGCTACACAAAAGATGTCCGGTTTACGTTAGTTAGCTAGCTTGCTAACAACAACAGCTGGCAGAAGAATTACTGACAAATATAATATTAATATGACAGTATATAGTACACGGCCTTCACGTGTAACATCTTATAGCAATAAACACAAGTAATCTGGTGATTTCGCTAATGACGTTGCTTCGTTTTATTTCTTATATTTTCCCGTTGCAACAGTGTGCTTTTATTTTGAAGGAGCACGCCTGTTTTCCGGTATCGTAGGCTGGCTTGATTCAACAACCAACAACCAACAACACACACACACACACACACACACACACACACACACACACACACACACACACACACACACACACACACACACACACACACACACACTAGCTCAGTAACACCAATGTGGTCTTAAGTCTCTGATTCAACGTCGTAGTCCCTCCCTCGCGAAGGGTCGTTGGTATTTACTGCATTAACAGTTAGTATGCTGGTGACGTAGCTACAATGCAGAATATATTTTAAAAATACTCTTTGGTTTTATTTGAATGCACCAGGTTTTCTGTCAGTGGAGGGTACAGTTATCTCAGTTTGTCTCAAGATTTCCTATGTATATTCATCCAGGTGCTGAATTCTCAATTAACACCCCAAAATCTGCAACAGGAGGCCAAGGGGCTCCAGACTCCCAGGAAAACTCTACTTTGCAATAACTAAGTAAGTTAAACTATATTTAAAATGGTAATTTAAAAAAGTAAATAAATAAATAGGGAGATTGTGATTTTGGAGCTTTGAAACATTGCAACCTTTTAAAGACAACCTGGTGAGTGGCAAGTGGCATTCAATTGCAAAATCTTTATTGTAGCTCACTATTTGAGCAAGGGTTTTATTAGTTGGCTACTATTTTAAGTTCATCTGAATGGTCCAGAAAAGACAATCCATTTGTCACTACATGTAGAGCTACAACTGTTAGCAGTAGTGCACCAGGTATCAAACTAAGACACATTTAACATACCCCTTTTATTCCAAACATGGCACAGGTATTTATTTTACCAAGCATTTTCAATAACAGTGACCGATCAATGACCGTGGCTATAACTACATGGTTAAAAACCCATAATAATGGCATCGTTACTATTGGCTGCATGCATTAGTGGCATATGTCATATATTATCAATTTACATATTGTGCTGGCATCACCTGGTGCAGGCATGTTGAATAAGTGCATAGTGAAAATTAAAGTAATCTGTAAGCTGAGCCAGACAATGCCCTGGCCTTGTTGCAATACCAGCATTAAACAATAAATGGAAAAATAATGGCCCACCCAAACAATACACACTGGGATCCCTGACTGCTATGCATATACAGTAACAGAACAACTCTGATGCAAAATAATGGAGCATACTAATCGTTAAACCATGATCTACTTGCAATAGGCTATGATGCAAGAGTACCGGGATTCAAACATCAACCTTATTTTTCTTTAACGGTCTCACATTGTTGTTTTCAAGAATAACAATCTGCAGTCAGTGAACTTGGGGATGGTTTCACAAAGACAACATGGGCTCTACCAACTAATGCATAACTATGGCTATACTATATCTGAAAGTCTAATCTATGCAAAGACATGGTCCACCCACACTTTCACCCAAAAGGTCTTCTCAGGACTGCATGGGCATGTACAGACTGACTGCAATTTCCCCAACATCCTGTTAATTGTGTTTCAAATGTTTGGGTGGGACAACTTGCACCCTAATGATTCCTGTTTTCAGTTAGTGTGCAAACAGGTTAATCCTCTGATCAGGTTAAAGTGGGTGGGGATTTTCTGGGAATTTATGAGGTCACTATATTCCACGCACTAATATGAATGTACATACATTGTGCCGTCCTGACAGGTGTAACACAATTTAAGGTTGAGAGACGGAGATGTCAATCAAGCAGTCTATACACACCTACAGTTCTGAGAAGGATATAATTGGAGTGGAAAATGTGTGGGCGGCAAAAGAAAAACAACCAAGCTACATTGTTAAACTCTGTTCACTGACAGAAAACTTGTTCCTCATGTAAGATTTTTATTGTTTTTACAGCGACGAGTGAAGTAGGCTTTCCTGTGTTGTCAGAAGGTTTGAAAAAAACAATGTCACTTATTATTTTTGGTTATCTGTCCAAGGTCATTTTAGCATTTAGTCAAACAGCAAAACTAAAACTTCCACAGACCCCTTTAACATACAATTTTTGTGAAACCAGCCCCCAGCCACAAAGGAATTGGAGCTTTCACATTAGGTTTTTCACAAATTTCTTGGCATCTTAATGTTGGCCTATCTCCTCTCGTGCCCTTTTGATTTGAGGACGTGAGGCAGATCAAAAGCAAAAATGCCAAACAAGTGGACCAAATGACACTAATCCAACATACTATTATCTATATGCTCCGGAATAATGTTGGCAAAAATATTCAGTAGCATTTGTTTATGATCCTCAGCTATAGATACATACATACATTGTGAGTGCAGGTTTGTGCTTTTCTGGGTTGGTACTATAGTATCAATTCTGTCTTGCAAGTTTCATGGAGCAGTGAACAATCCCACAACACTTTCATGGCATTAACATTCTACATAAACCCGCACACACAAGGGATTTTCTGAATAACAGGAGGGATGGTTGAGAATATATTCTGTACTGTGTAAACAAAGTGGTTCTGTATAGCAAGCAGGAGAGACCTCGTCTGGACTCAGGAGTACATGGTCAACTGAAGCCACTGAAAAGAAACAAGAGCAGAGATGATTACTTTATGTAAACAGCAAACTGTTCCTATCAACTAAATCAAATGCTTTTAAATAACTGAATTCCAGCCAAACCCCGCTGATATTTAAAATTCAAATTGCTTTACCTCCTTAACATTGACTTTGATAGTCCCATTGTTATCCTTATCCAGGGTTTTGAAGGCACCTGAATCAGAAAAGATATTAAGACAACAACACCTTCAGTTTATGAGTCAATCAGTCTTATCACAGAGATAAAGCTGCTAAACCAACAAGTAAATCAGTTTATTTTAGGACTGGTGTTTCAAACTTACGGCACATGGCGTCCAGCCTCACAAGGCAGCCAATGTAGTTGTCAAAATCCATGTTCCCATTTTCATCGCTGTATCTGCGAATTATCATCTGGAACAGCTGGTCATTGAGGGGGAAGCCTGAGGAAAAGATGAAACAACTGTCCACTATTACACAGGACTTACACAAAGGCTACATGTACATAGGATTGAGACTGCACTGTGTACAGGTATCATATTCTAATCCTTAAAACGGGATGGTTCACCCCAAAATCAAAAATACATATTCTTCCTCTTACATGTACAGCTATTTATCCAGCGAGATTGTTTTGGTGCGAGTTGCAGACTTTTGAAAAGCCCTAGAGATGTCTGCCTTTTCTCCAGCATTTAGCTTGTGGTAAATGGTAAAAGGAAGGGACCTTAAAATTTTTAAAGGGGGTTTTCTGCCCGCAGGCTTCCATGGTGGTACTGTGTGTCTCGTAATTAATGTTAAAGAGTTCCTAACCTTTTTTTTTTTAAAAGTGTTTTGAAATTACTTTTTTTTTTAATTGGCGCTATACAAATAAAATTGAATTGAATTGAATTGAATTGAATTATACAGCACCTTTCTAGCTAGTTTTTCCAACTATTTGTGCTTATCACTACATCTCACACTGACACACACACAGCAATTCGGGGTTCAGTATCTTGCTTTAGGACACTTGGATATCCAGCAGGAGGAGCCAGGGATTGAACCGCCAACCTTCTAATTAGTGCACGACCCGTTCTACCTTCTGAGCAAAAGCTGCACCCCATTGTAGTGCCCCCCCCCAAAAAAAAAGAAAAACAACAGCAACGTATCTTTCCAGTAACTATTTACTTTCTACATATCACAGCACTGAAACATGCTTGTAACTACTCATGGATGAGAGGCTTGTGACAGCGCAGGATGTGACCATCACATTTGCCCTCTATCCATTACACAGCAGCTCAAACATGAGGCTTTCTATAGAGTTCAGTAACATTTGACTTATATTTGACTAGCTGCCCATATCTATCAAGATGCTGGAATAATGATTGAGCAATTTATCTATTTAAATAGTATTCACTGGTCATGCCGAGATAATAAAATGATGTCAGCAGGAGGTAAGCCAAACCTCACCTCACAAATTCCCCATTTGATAACATGATCATACTTACATGCAGGCTTCTTAAACAACTTTTTATATTTAAAACATGAACACAAAAACACAATTGTAAGTTCTTACTGCATCCATGATGATTACTTTACCTGTGGCAGTTATTAATATACATATTATTATATGTTATATCGTTTTTAGTATTAGTATGTGTGTGTGTATATATATATATATAAATATATAAAAAAAAACTCACCAGCAGCTCTGAAAGCATTGGGCAACTCATCTGCACCAATAAAACCAGAGCCATCACTGTCATGGGCTTTGTACACTCCCTAAACAATGACATTAACAGTATTTAAAGCATTTATGCCATCTGAATGTCTCCTAGTAAGATGACTCACAATCTAGAAAGAGTAAAAGACACAACCTACATCAATATCATTGTAACAACTATATAAGAAATCCCTTTAAATTTGTTTTTAAAAATAACTAAAAATAAGGTAGTGGATGTTTTTCTTGTAGTGTAGGCTCAATTCAACAAAAAACAAATACATGTGTCATATCAGATTCATTTGACAGGATATTAAATTATCAGTTCCACATGTAGCCAACTTAATAATGTGTGCCCTTCAGTAAACACAGTATACAGATGTATGTCTATTTAAAATGTGGAAGTTAATCAAAATACAGAGGACTTTGGCACACTACATTTAAATCAAAGTCCTAACATCACTAAACAGCTGATACCATTAATACTTTAAGCTACAGTTCCTTCTGTGTCCACTGTTAACTGGAGATGATCAACACTGGCCACAGGAATGTAACAGCACAGAAACAGATGTGTTGTTCAAATGAAACAGGGTTGTTGTACTTGCCTGCCATTTCTTGATATTGTTCCAGAGTTGTTTGAATTCGTGAAAGCCGAGTTTACCAGTGCTGTCGCTCTGACTCAGAATTAAGGACAACAGACATCAAGTCTTCCTTGGCTCCAGCTTAGACAAGCAGTTGTACTACTTGTGGGCATGCTGTATTTGCCCAAGGCGTACTGTTACGGGCC